GGCTGCAACGTCGCGGTGCTTCTGCAGGCGAACTCGCCCACAGCGAATGGCGTTGGCCAAGCTGGCTGACTCGCCCTCCCAGATGGAGGCATTTAGGCGAGCCTATGGCGTCATGGCCCGCAGAGATTTCAACTCAACCTCAACCAACCGCGGCCGTCAAGCAGAGGATAGATGGAAACATGAAATGGAAACATGAAAACGCGCAAAGCGATTCGTTGCCGCGCATCTAGCTGGCGCAGGAACACATTCTCCATGTGCCTGGCGGTACGTCCGCTACCACCTGCGCCGTCGAATGGCAGCTCGTCAAATGGGCACAATCTCACCACATGGCAAACAATTGCCCCTCGATCGTCATGCAGTTGTCGATGTCGGCTCGTCCCTGTCGACCGTCTCCGGCACAATGACGCAAAGTATCCACAGTATCAGACTCATTTGATAAGCTTTTCACACTACCCTATGCGCCTTCGGGGTCAGGGTACAGTCAACGACGACGTCTTAGACAACACTCTGCCTCGAATAGAAGCGCATGTGAATATAATTGACGGGCAGATGGGATCCTCCAGGATGTCGCCGAATATAAACCCCAAAAATCTCCCTCAAACCGCTAGGTAACCGTGCCCGAAACTTCACTCTCCACACTACCCACTATTCTTGCCGGCCTTACAAGGAACTGCCAGAATCGTTCCGACTTGAATAAACGGGCCGTGCAGTTAAAGGCAGACCGTCCCCAATTATCCCCACCATCTCCAGTCACTTCACCCCGCACACCTTGATCTCCATCGTCTAAATCAATCCACGGCATTGCTTGCACCATACTACTTTCCCTCACCGACTTTATTCCTTCCACCATGTCGGCTCCATCATTGATTGTGCCCTCTCGGGGCCGCTTCGTACGGCGCCTTAGTTCAGATGTTGCTACGCGCGAATCCATGTCCCAGGGGCCAACTGTGATTGTTCCTCCCAAGGTAAAAGCTGTTCCAGCTCGATCGTAGACACATCCACTGATGATACCCAGCACATGATGGCACCCTCAAACGCCAGCGAGGTTGCATCCGCTATGGAGACTGCGCGCCACGAGCTTGAGGCGAGGGCCGGGGCGTCCAGTCCGGAAACTCCGCCTACACCTCCCGAGACATCTGTCACAGATAAGTATGCCTACGCGTTCGATATAGACGGAGTCCTTATCCGCGGTGGGCGACCCATCCCTGAGGCAATCAAAGCAATGAAGGTCCTCAACGGTGAGAACGAATATGGTATTAAAGTGTAATGCTCCGTTCTCCAATATTAAGTCTTACAACTTTCCTAACTTGTCATAGTCCCTACATTTTCGTCACCAATGGTGGCGGCAAAACTGAGCAAGAACGTTGTGTTCAGCTGAGCCAACAACTTGAATTAGAAGTCTCACCTGGGCAGTTCATTTGTGGACACACTCCCATGCGGGAAATGGCTGAGAAGTATCACACGGTTCTTGTCGTTGGCGGAGAGGGAGAGAAATGCCGCCAAGTCGCCGAGGGGTACGGCTTCAAAGATGTCGTCACGCCAGGTGACATCATCAAAGACAATCAAGACACCACACCTTTCCGCAAACTCACCAAGGAGGAATACGAAAACTCAAGGTCGCGAAACTTCGGTGAGACTGAAATCAACGCCATCTTTGTCTTTGCGGACAGCCGCGACTGGGCATCGGATCAGCAAATCATTCTTGATGTGCTTATGTCCAAGAATGGTCGATTGGGAACCCGATCCGAGAACTTCGATGAGGGCCCGCCAATTTTCTTCTCTCACAACGATGTAGTGTGGAGCGCTTCGCACGACCTTACCCGAATTGGCATGGGCGCCCTGCGCGTCTCCCTCGAAGCGATGTTCAAGGCGGTTACCGGAAAGGACCTGCAAACCACTGCTTTCGGCAAACCTCAAATCGGAACATTCCAGTTCGCTACCCGATTGCTCCAACAGTGGCGTAAGGACACCCACGGCATCGATAGCCCCCCGGACACTGTCTACTTTGTAGGAGACACCCCAGAGTCTGATGTTCGTGGCACGAACGAGTACGATAAGCACGCCGAGAACACTTGGTATTCCATCCTGGTTCGCACTGGTGTGTTCCAGGAGGGTACCAAGCCGCGCTTCCAGCCTCGTGCTACTGTCGACCACGTCCTCGACGCTGTCAAGCATGGCATGGAGCGCGAGTACAAGAAGGCCTTGAAGGCAAGCATGCAGAACAACCCGGCGATTGAGAACGCCTTGTTGGTGGAAGAGTAGATCTCTTCTCCAGGTTCGATTATATCTTCAGCACATATGGTTTCGACATTTAGGCATAGCATTTGGCGTATATTTGGGTGTCTTTTTTCTCTACGTGCCATCACCACCGGCTTCGACTGAGTGGGCATGCATAGAATGGATAAATCCGCCGCAGCATCTAGAGCTCTCGGATAGACGGGATAGAAATCGTCGCAGCTTTTTGAAACCACGAAAGCTTCGGCAAGTTCTGGCCTTTCGCAGAATTAACCTGGTAGAGGTTTCCTAGATCTAGGTTTCTTAAGTAGCTCGTTCTTGGGCACAATTGAATTGGAATATTTCTTGTCCACACATCCGTCCTTTATTATCTCGTCACCATAATATTCAAACTTGGTCGCTCATGCAGTCTCTACCACGCGTCCCACGCTTTGGTCTGGCTGCACACGCTCTTGACGACGTCCAACTAGTGTAATCATGACTAGTACAAGCACGATCCCGCTTGCGTTCTTTAGTCTCTGCCTTACAAGTCGCTAGTCCAGCCATCGGGCGACGGCGGACGCGGACCCTACTGCCAGATTCCTCACGGCCCATTTCACCTTCCCTCCAGCTCCTATCTTCGTTCGCTTTCGCATGTGTACCCGACGAACTACTCCTGTGGCTTCAAACGGTCGAAGGTTCTTTCACACAAGTCCGTAGCTGCGTACTTAGAAGAACCAGACCTACACTCCCCACCGCCACCAAATCTCTCAACGGTGGCTCAATTTTGACGCCTCGGTTCTAGACTTCTCTGAGACTTTTCGTAGATCGAAAACTCTCCCTCCCGCTGGTTTAGTCTAGAAAACACTGATTGGACAGAGGATGAGGAATATTCTCCGACTCCGAGGAGCCCTCTCATGGAAGGTGGGGCTTCTCCGACATACGTTGCAAAATACATACGCGTATTCTGTACGTAGTGGTAGTTGACATTTTGTCGTTTTGCTTCGCAGGGTAGCGTAGCGCTGCGCAGTTTAACGGACACCTACCTCTGTCCGATCTTCTTCGTGCTTGACACCCAGCTCGAGCCTCGCCCTGGAAGGGCTGGTGGAGATTCGAGGCATTGATCGGGCCTCCAACGTTGAAGATCGACCTTCTTCCGATAACTTGCCTTCCAAACTCCAATTCTGACATCTCTCTCTGACTGGGTGGCCTGCCAAGTCAAGCGCCACCCTCTCCGCCCTGTTGCAACCGCAGAGGCCTGTTCGCGTACAACTACTCTATCCTGTGTCTGTTGCCACGTTTCGACATCACGGCCACTCGCTCGGCGAGATCTTGACCGGCAATACCCGCAAAATCCGCAACATCCACTTCCTCAAATCGATTTATTAAACTTTATTTCTGGCCTCCATTATTCCACGCAGGATGTGTATTCGCTGAAATTGAGGGGTAGGTTGTGGGGACCAGTGGAGTGGAACTTTGTTTGCTGAAAGGATTAGACGAAATTGAGGGGAGGGTAGGGTTCGGCTAGTGGAATGTTGCTGGTGGAAAAAGGTGGGTCTGGAAGCGGAGTTTCCAGGCGCGCGGTCCGCGATGGCGGGTTTGACGAATCTGGGGATGCCCTGTCACATACTCCACCACATCCCCTTCTCGCTGGAACCCGGAGGAGGCCGAGGGTAAGGCTTAGGTGTTTGGCTTTTTGTGGACTGGTGGGTACGTCGTCCCACATGCCGGAGTATGTATGTTTCTCATCCGGACTCAACTCTTGGAGAAACGAACAAAGGGACGTTGGCACCGGTACGCCCTGACGCAAGTATTTTGTCTAAAATTGGCCTCTCGGAACGGAGACTGTGAGAGATGTTTCCCCAGCCCCATAATCTCCACTTCAGGCGAGCGACCCTGAGAAATCTTCTAGGTGAGCAATATACACAGCCACGCGATGCATCCCTGATTAATGTCGCCTTCTAAGGTTACTTCCAGTCTGACAAGACTGCGCCTGTGCCTGCACCTGGTCATCTTCTTACGGGTGAGTGCTCGCGTGTCGGTGCCCGCCGTCTTTTTTTCCAAGATTGGTTGTTATCGGTGAATTGATAGTGGAGCACTCTTGTGAGTCGGGGACCTCGGGTGCCGATAGGGGACACGCGGCAATATGCAACTGTCTTCCACACTTCGAGATGCTGGGACGAGGTCTAGTACACTTTGGTAACCCTAAAGTCACTCCACATCTCCAGTCCCTAGGACGAAGTTCACAATTCACAGCCATGGGTTGAGCTCCACATTTTCGAGACTCTGGGTTTGGGAGGAATTTAGTCAGGGTAGTGCCTTTCAGGGCGATGCAAGACATTTCTGTGGGGTAAGAAGGCTTCAATAAGATATAAGGGTAAAAATTGCGGATAAGAGGGTGGGTCGGTCGTCTTGGAAACGGTGCGGGATCCGATGGATGGGTTGGGATGTTATCATCGATATGGGCGAAGGATCAGATGGATGGAGACTAGATAGATATGGGAGAGTATAGACTAGATGCAGGCCTAATGCTCGACGAAGAGGTTGAAGGGGCTCAGTTGATTTGTTTGAAATTGAGTCGAATGATTTGGTTGCTAAAACGTGCTTGTATTCTCCTTCTTTACCATGCGGGCCCACCTTTCCCTCCACTCGTGGTTTTCGTAGGTCGCATTCGGGTATAGTGGATACATGTTTATTGGTCGTTTGTGAGCGCACCTGCACTGTTTCTGTTTGACCGAGTCTACTCCTCGTTAGTCAGCCGGGCAATCCGGGAGGTTCCATACAGGTCCCCCTTGGCTTAGTGGTAAAGCATATCACTAGCACCATGGTATGATAAGATCACCAGTTCGATTCTTGTAGGGGGTATATCCTTTTTTAAACGGTGGCTGCAATTCCTTTTTGAAATTTTGCGGATTGGCGTGGTCACGTGTAGCTAGGTTTTTGGGGACCTCTCGAGGTCGGGAAGAAAAGATGAGTGGTTCTAGAGAAAGAGCAACCATGCTCCGTATGACAAGGACCGTCAGTATGGTTGCCACACGACGTGTTGGGAATTGATGGTTATTGTATTCTGACGAGTCCATTTTCTTGAATTGACGGCTCCAAGATATATTGGATATATATAGTAATTAGTGAGGTGATCTAGATCCCATCATGTCTGGTGGTAGGATCTCAGAATATTTTCACGGTGGCCACACCGGTGAGTGAAGATAGAGATGGAAAGGAGCTAGGAGGGAGTGAGTAGGAGTCAGTGGCATATGAAGGAATTAGTTATTAAGGAATATATATAGCCCTTGTGTGGGTTGGGCTCTACAGTGCACTGCTTTGTAAAGCGGCTGAAGTAGGTTTGTACATAGGTACGGTAAGGAGATGAAACAGAAACGGAAAAAGAGACAGAAAACGCGATTGTATTGCTTGTGTTGTTGTTCTAGCTAGGGGCAGGGAGAGCTGAGCTCGACGATCCTGCGCGAGCTCGGGCCTCCCCGCTAGCATCACGTGATCAGGTCACGTGACTAGAAAAGGGGCAACGACCTGAGAGGCGCTGCACCGTACTGCGTACGGACACCTTGGGTATTAACCTCGGTTCTCCTTAAGGAACATAGTTGTACAAATTGAACAACTATTATCTATCTAGAGGGCTGCTAAAACAGGATAGGTAGAATCACGATCCTGCGCTCTGGCTAAAATCGCGTAAAAATCACCGATGATCTTAAATTTTAGGCTATGATATTGCTTTAAAAGTACTAGGTCATTCGTCGCTAGCTATTTAGCTTTGGAAAACGCGCCAAGTAGGTATTGCTTAGATACATACTAGCGTTGCCATTGATTCTAAATATGAATAATTGCCCATGCACGCACTGTGTTCGGAGACGGAGCAAAAAGGAGGACGGGACTGCGAAAGTTAACAAGGGGCCTTGCCATTCAACTCACACTCGAGTGATCTACTTTGCCAATTGGAAGCACTTATACAGAAGAAAAGAGACAACCATCCATATGTACTCTGGTGAGGATCACCTATTGGGAGCTCTTTGACTCACTACTCCAAATGAAAACAAATGTTCGCTTGACGCCTTGCTTGCTCGAATCAGGATCATCAAATATTCAAAAGTCCAGCCAAAACCGGCCACCTTTCGAACCACATTACTCATTAGGAATGGGAATCTTTCCCACACTCCACTCCCCACCCGCAATCGGCCTCGTAAATGCCGTAATATCATCTCCAGCGGTCTGATAAAACACATACAAGCTATCCCACAACGTCTTATTTCCATCTTTCTCTGCATAAGCCGTCATCGTCAAATGCGTGCCCCCCAGCCCCAACACCGGCCCTGCCGGATCCGTAATCACAAACCCATCCTCCTGCACAATCGTCGTATTCTCCGCCGCATATGTCACGTTGAAACCGCGCATACTGCGATCCTGCATCTGCGCGTAGAAATACGTCGTGTATCCCAGACTCGTGCTCGGATACACATTCCCGATTGCACTCTGTGTTGAGTTTTGCCAGGAATTGATCGGGTGCGAGTCCTCGGATACGAGGGTTGTATTGGTGTCTTTCCACCAGAATTCGACGGCGTTCGACTTCGATACCATCATCGTGTACGTTGTGGTTCCAGCGCCCCAGCTGTAGCAGCCGACTCCGGAGTGTGTGTTTTTACCTTGCCATTTGTCGAGTTGGGCCCATGTGGTCTTGTTTTGGTACCAAGCATATTGCTGGAATGTGGAGTCGTCGAGGGGGTACCAGATGTTCATTCCTGTGACATGTTAGCGCAATGAATCATAGAATATGGGGAGGTCCGGGTAGTGTACCCAATCGCTGCTCGAAAGGAATATTATTCTGCTCCCCCGACGTCGTGGGGAACTTTGAGTAATCCGAATCTCCATAAAAGTTTCCTTTCCAACATGCTTGAAGACCGACAGTTGGATTGTTCCAGACAGGGAGGTTAAGATCGCTGAGTATCCCTGGTTCCCAGATGCTGCTAACATTGGTCATCGTCATTTGGCGGAGTGTGTTGTTCTTCGATACGTAGAATATGTGAAACTGCGTCCCTACATTAGCTCCTAATCCTGTGCAGCGGTATAGCTCAATCATACCGTTTGCGTCCCATTCGTATTATAAGCGACTGTAGATATTGGTGTTGCATTTTTCGCATCCGAAGCAATAGTCTGTGCCTTCCCTCCGCCAACCCACTTTCTATCCGTTGTGTATTGCATAAACCGAATATCCCCAGTCCAGTGTTGGAAGTAGATGGTGAAGATCCTCCGCTGCTCTTTATTCCAGGACTCTCCGGCCAATGCAATGCCAGAACCGTTGAATGCACCTTTCTTCGAATAGTATTTCTCGTCAAGCATACCGCCGATACAGAGGGTCGGATTATTGCGGCAAAAGGGATCCATCTTCGCGGAAGATCTATGAGAAACACGATTAGTGCTTGAACGTGGTTGTAGATATCATAGTCACTTACGAATTATGCCGATCTAGCCCGAGAGTGAGACCTAGTCCAAGCCCAAGTCCCAATGCGATGATGCAAAAGAGAATGCCGGCGAGGACGAGATAGAATACCTTCCTCCTCATCCCACACAACTTGGACTCTTCTGGCGGAGGTATGTGTCCACCATGCTGATTGGGGTCCACAATCTTTTCATGGGAATACGGCGGTACGTTCGGAGTAATCGGAAGTGTTGTTCCTCCTTGTGACGACGGTGACATCGGTCGGGTGTCGTACTGGGGATACATGTAATTGTTGACTACTTCTGGTGCTGAATATCCTACTGGCGAGCTGGGGGTCTGATAAGGTTCCCATGGTTGTTCCTTCGGTGGTATTGGTCTGTCTAAGTTAACATCTATTGCTGCCGGTGGCCAAGACGATATGCTTCGGGTTTCAAGGTCGATGTTGATAGGGGTGAGGCTATGTGTGGACTTACGGTGAAACAGAGTATGCATGCAAGGTCTGTGGTGACGATCTTGCATTCCTGATATCCTGTGGCTCTGTATACGTTTGTGGAGGGCTCCAACGGGCCTCCTCTTGTCTTGCGAAACGCCCAGAGTCCTCCATCGATACGTAAGGTCCTGCTGCGGGCAGGGAGAGACAGGCAGGAAGCAAACCTGACACAGTCTGACATATATCACCCTAGCTACGTGGCATGCTTTTTTATGGCGCCTGCACAGAGAAGCCTCGCCACAATGTGGCAACTGTTAGCAGATACCTGCACAAGGTCTTAGGGATCAGGAAGGGTCGTGCAGAAGAGGCGCACGCCCGCAAGATATTTGTCTGCCTGCGAGCTCAGGTGAGGGAGATGACCAGTTTTGTAGCTCGGCCACCGGGAGTCAGACGGTGTGCGGTGGAGCCGACTGCAGTTGAGGGAACTGTGATAGGGTATGACATGTCCAGCTCGATGATTGTTCTCCACTCATCACGCAGTATCGAGGGACCTGCAGCTCTTGTGTGACTTCAATCATTCGCTGCCAATCGATGTGAAATTTTCATTCGTCGTTGACGGAACCGAACAACCAGGGTTGTGCAAGGTTACGTGATCGGATAAAGGAACGGTTTCTCCCTCAGCTTCAACACGCACTTGGGATGTATTTGTCTCGCCAATCTTCAAGAATCTTCTGCAACCTCGCCTAAACCGACCTGTTCCCTTCATGGTGGATTCCGGCATTGGAGAAAAACGAAGCGATCAAGCCAGCACCAAGTGTCCAGCCTTTTCCAACAACAAAACTCAAACGAGGAATGCGATCCGAGAAAAAGGCCCCCAAAAAAAACCGAGGACTTGAAGAAAACAGAACATACCATTTGCCAATCTGGACCGAATCGATCGTTGCCGTGCATTTCAGCTGAGATGCTCACCAAGCTAAGCGAGAAACCGGAAGAAAACGCAGGGTTGGTGAAACAGCGCAGTCAGCCGCCACAATCTGCGAAGGTCTTGGCGCCAGCCAATGGAAGATGAAATATACAATTATCGCCGACGGCCCAGATTTGATTTTCAAGGGGATAATTTTCATGTCAACTTTACGCGACGACATACAGCTGTACCCGTGTTGCTCAAAAAATGCTCGTTTGGAGAGAATCGGAACGGCAGCATGCTTATTGACTGAGCAGGACTTTGTTTAACAGTGAATAGTATAGATAACTCATTTTTTACGTGGTTGGCTTTAGACTGAGCGTTTACTTACATACCTTAGTACACAGAGCAGTTCTGGAGAAAAACTGGTTGTAGGAACTTGCCCTTTCCGCCAAAATGAGAGGAAGTACTAACCACCTAAACAGGTAAAGAAGTGAGATACCACAAGTCTCGAAATGAAGGTCAGAGGCCACGAATCGGCCTACAATGATAGACGTGCCGATAAGAAGAGTAGACATATACCCATTTCGAGTCACAATGGAATATAACAATCACATCAGATCAAAGAAGTTCAGGTTTGGAATTCGCGGGACCCACCTGAGCGGCCAGAAATTGCATCCAACCATGATTCAGTCACCTCTTAGCAGATGGAGAACTCCCGTCTCTACCAACACTCCGCCGACTACCTACACCCTACATCCCCATCCTCCCCATCGGCCCCACCTCAACCTCATAACCTCCCCGACAAACTACTTTGGATGCGGTGTACTATCCCATATATTCTCCTCCCAATCCCGTTCCCCCAAACCTCTCCACCGCCCTAACCAAAAACCCGCTCAAAAGACTCCCCTCCTGCGTATTTTTCAAAAAATTGCTCACCATCTCAGGCGTCAGACATTTCACAAACGCATTCGGGAATCCCTAACCGTGCGGAGCCTCAAAGCGCACGATAATGACTCGGAGAACGTCGTCGCGAAGGGCGGCGTGTCGAGGCGGACGGAGACAAGAACGCTGTTCAGGAT